CATCGTATTTGAAAGAGGAAGAATCGGTCGGCTGATTCTCCCATAGTTGCTCTGTCTTCTAGTACAAAATTGAACTGAGTATGAATTGGATGAAGGTGCTATTTATAAACTGCAGTCATGGTGGCACATGGATTAAAAAAAGAGCCCAGGTGCCTCTGAAGTGCAGAAGGTGGAGAGAATTGGAGTGAAAGTTGATTGCACGAAAAGTTGAGATATAGAATTTTGGGAATCCATATTGATATGGTGGTGGAGACTCGTCTTCACTCCTTGCTAATTCTAACCTAAAAGTCCTTCATTTGAAGCCTCCTCCCTTCCTGGGGCTCCTGCGTTACTCTACTTTCTCTTACATTTTCAAGGTGAGTAGGAGTGAGGTGGCCAGTGGGTTGTCTCTGGCTAGGTGGAGAGTTGAGCACATTCTGCACAGGATTGTGAGAGGCCTCCAGTTCCTCTTTCCACAGTGGTGCCTTGTTCAGGATGAGGGTCCGAGCCTTCAGAAGCAAATCAATTAAAACATTAGTTCATCTGAACAAAGCTAAGAGAAAGGGAGCCATCAGTTGCACAGTTTTAGCAGGGCTAATAAAAAGAGATTTCATCCTGGATATTATTGTAAAAAGCTGTAGAAGACGTAAAACATTCCAAAATATTTTACTAAAAGAACACATTTGAAATGCTCTCTTGTTCCTTTAAAGCAGTGTTTCTCTACCTTGGCCACTTGAAGATGTCTGGACTTCAACTTCCAGAATTCCCCAGCCAGCGAATGCTGGCTGGGGAATTCTGGGAGTTGAAGTCCAGACATCTTCAAGTAGCCAAGGTAGAGAAACACTGCTTTAAAGTATGCAGAGGTTCTCCAGGAAGGAGTAGGGTGAGATTAAAAGGTTTAGGGTTAATCACATGGTTGTGGCCCCCTTGATTTTTTTTTGATCGGCCTGCAGACCCCTTTTCGAAATGTTCCCGTCTTGAGTGCCCCGAGCAGATATAAATGCTCTCAAATGTAAACATAAATAATATCAGACAATCAATAATGTTAACCTTGTGATTTGTAGGCATCTTTATTTTTATTTTGCACAACCAGCATTTTTTTTCTCCTTCTTTTCCTTTTAATTCATTTAGCAGGATTCAAAAATTTGGAAGTTACAGGTTGAAACTCAACAATTCTGGCGAGGGACAAGCACTCGCCATCACAAAAAGGGGCTGGAATTTATTTATTTAATTAATTAAAAATCAGCCTGCACTACTTGGCCACTTTTTATTTTTAACAAAACAGTTTTTTTAAAAAAAAATCTTAAGCAATTTCACTCTTTCCTGACCTATTTCAAAGAGAACTAGAAGCAGGGGTGAGATTCAGCCGGTTTGGAACAGTTTGGGTGAACCAGATGTTAATTTTACATCTGGTTCGCCGAACCGGTAATTGGAAGGACTGGCTGGACCCGCCCACCCCACCCCTTCCCTCCCAGGAGTCTCCACGGGGCTCGTTCATCATGCCAGGCAAATGCAGGGCCAGCGCAGAGGCTCTGGGAGGGTGAAAAACGGGCCCTCCCGGAAGTTCTGGAAGTCTGGAAACAGGCCTGTTTCCGGACACTGGAGGGACTCCGGAGGGTGTCAGGAGGGCGTCCAGAGCCCAGGGGAGGCTGTTTTTGCCCTCCCGGAGGCTCAAAGAAAGCCTCTGGAGCCTGGGGAGAGCAAAAACTCCCCCCCTCACCGTGGTCCAGGAAGCTGAGTAGGCTAGGCCCTTCATGGCCACGCCCCCCAAGCAACTGGGCACAGAACCGGTTGCTAAAAATTTTCAATCCCACCCCTGACTAGAAAGTCAGCATCATTTAAATATATGGGCTTGGGTTTCTGTCCTGTTAAGATGTCATCATATCTTCATTTATGGTATAAACATTCCATGCTTGTATTTAACTTGTGGAAGTTGACAAGGAGAAGTAAACATCTTATATTAAGATTCTTGTTCCTTCTCTCTCCCCACCAGAAAACACCATATCCAGAACCTTTTAAAAATAAAAATAAAGGTATCTCACAAAAAACCCCAAGCTATGCCAATGCACGCAATTGTCTCCATCTCTTCCCCATGTTACATTTTCCTCCCCTGCTCCTCACTTTGGTGTAGAACTGGAGAAGAGTATTGGACAGTAACTGGTGCTTCTCAGCCAGGAAGCGATAGCGGCGTTTCTCCTCCAGCTCAGCAGCCTGTTGGCTTTCACTGACAAAAACTTGCAGCTCACTACGCAAGTGAACCATGTTCTCCTGCAGTTAAGGAAAGAGAGAGGGGGTGGGGAGGGAAAAAAAATCCCTGTCAACCAGTTTCTCCAATAGGGAAGGTCATTTCAAATCCTAGGTATTGTTGAATTTTTAGTGTTGACTGGGCCTACACAGCAGTCGTTGAATCATTGCAGTGCAAGGTCCATTCCCTTCTAAGATACTTTCTCCACACCTATCCCTCCTTTGGACTCAGATTTCATTTATTGGATCACTGTCTAGATCACAGCTCTTCCTCCTGTCTCCCAAGGTTATTCTTACAGTCCATTATATTGCCTGATCTGATGCTTGTTTCACAGGGAATAGCCTTAGGATTACGGCATAGTAACATCCATGGTGAGTGTGTCCAAAGTCAAGATGGTGACTATGAATAACACACCTACATGTGTGTTATAACATGCTTGAGGTTGCCATCTTGATTTTTTTGAAGCTCTCCTTTGGATCCCCTGGTAGGAATTATGTATGACGCATCTTTGTGGGAAATTGGAGACAGATTTAGAGATGGCCTAGCATCCTACTATTTCTCAAAACAACTCAAGACAACTAATAAGATCCTTTATTTTTATTTTTTATTTTGAAAAAGAACTCTTAGGAAACAAATTTAGCTTTAAAAAAATCACTAAAGTTCCTTATGATACATCCATCCAGAGCACTTTATGAAAGTGGGGATTTAAACCAAAGTCTCTCCATTGTAATCCAATATTCTGGACTTACTCCACTGTTTTTTAAGTATTTAGTTTGGCCATAGCTGGATCCTCAACTCTAGTCTTCCTCCACTTCCCACCAGATCCAGCCAGCCTGCTTCCTACCTTCAGCTCCCAGACATTCTTATCTCGACGACTCTCCATTCTCCGCAGGTCCATCATGGATTTATCTATACTGGCGACTCTATGCCTGTATTCCTTCTCATATTGTTGCCAACTATCCTACAATTGAAATGTTTAAAATAAATAAAATCATTACTCTGAATTCAGGAAAAAAATTAACAACTTAGTATAATTATGGTGGAGCTACAAAGGTTTTGGCTGGTTAGATTTTCTGGGCATCTAACATCAAGTACCAGCCATTATGTACACAGCTGTTTTCGACAATAAATTGTTTGCTCAGCCCAGCCCAGTCCTTAATATACTGTACATAGCAACTTGTAAAAGACAATAATAATTCAAGGGACACAACACCTACAGTGATGTTTCACTAGAAAATAAAGAGAGGAAGCTAAGGAGGAGGAGGGGGGAGGGGGAGGAGGAGGAGGCGGCGGCAAAGGATCAGTCTGACTCTTACATTAATGAACTGTACATCCAGCTTGGTGTTTTTTTCCATGTGCTGCAACAAATCTACATGGAAGGTCTCTGCCTATTCAAAAAAGAAGGTATTGTCAGAAATCATGTCTTACCTAGCATACCTGAGTATTAAATGGGGATGAGACCATCATTCAGTAGTAGAGGACATACAGGACAGATTCATTATGTGCAGGCCATGCCCATTCCAGCTCCGCGAAGGGGGAAACCGTCGTGATACATCACATGACAGCAATGTGAGGCCGCGAGTTTGACTCCCAAGCATTATATGAACAGATGATTGAGAATGAGTTGGGAGAGGCCATTTGAAGATGCAGAAATGAGCAAGAATGCAATTGTTCAGCATGTAAATCGGTTTGAATATGTGGCTTAAACATTCAGGCATACATATAACAAAGCAATAAATTCCAAAACATGATTGATTGGTTTATGATGATATAGGAAAGGAATTAACAATGGATGCAAAATGAAAGATTCTGAAGAGCAATTGGCCATTATTTATGTAGTAATGTCAAGAATAGATGTTGGGCAAAAATGGAGATAGAAAAAAAGTGAAAGAAATGAGAGTGAAAGTAGAACATTTGCAAAAACAGAAAGTACAAATCATGTATGAAATATCAGCAGATAATACATGACTAATTATATATTATAATTAGTATAATTATAATTAATAATTAGTAAATTACTTTCCCAACAGATTGAAAGAAAAATGGAGGTAAGAAAATAAAATGGAGAAATTGCTTGTGATAGAATGAAAAGAATTACAGAAGTGTGTGGAGCTATGCTTATAGGAAGTACAGAAAAGATGATAATACGATGAAGTGAGGTGGTGTAAAAGAAAAAAATGTTGATAAGGAAATGATTTCTGTCAAATGCATTTTATTTATTTAGGATATGACATTTACAGAGGTCATGTAATCACTGATTGTAATCACTTATTTCTGTCAAATGAGAAAGAGACAAAAGTAGGTGCAAAGCATATAGGGGAGACAGCAAGGGAGAGAAAATGCAGAAATAGAAATAATTTAAAAATATTACAGAAACGGGTGAAAAGGACTAAACTAGGAGCCTTCAACAAAGGGAATGGATTGAAGAATAGCAATGAAATGATTGGAATGAAACTAAAGCAAGGGAACATTCAGTAGTTCAGCACTGAGTGGTATGTAATATAAGGATATGTGCATTTGCCTTGATTATTACTGCATTTATGGACAAATGAGTAAGGAATACTTGTAGGGGGGTTAGAGGTATATTGGATGGAAACATGAATATGACTGTACTGTATTCAGGCAATGACATGTTGTTGGTTGAGAATCTCTGCATAAGCATGTCCAGAACTTTGTGCAAATTAAAAAGCATAAATATACTTAGTTAGGAACGTAAAGCATTTATTTTCCACCCTTCTTCATAAAAGACTGCTAGACTGGCCTATAAAATAATAAAAAGAAGATAAGACTCAACCTTTCACACCTGATATTATTTCCTCTTTTTTTTCAATTGTGTGCGTGTATGTCCTATAAATTGTCAACCTTTGACCATTAGCCATGCCAGATAGGGATTAAATGATCTGAAATGCAACATATCTAGAGGCAAAGAGGTTGAAAAAACTGTATACAGGACACAAATATATGACCAAGGTATAATAGAGATACCATATGTAACTTTGCAGATACTGTCAGGGGTGAGTTTCAAAAATTTCAGCAAAGGGTTCTCTGCCCAGTTGCTGGATGGGCGTGGTCATAGGGGGCATGGCCTAATCCCGTGATGGCGAATTTATGGCACGTGTGCCACAGGTGGCACATGGAGCCATTAGTTAGGACATGTGAGGTGTTGCCCTGTCAGCTCCAGTGCGCATGTGTGCGATGGCCAGCTGACTTCGGCCTTCATTTTTTGCTTTTTTTTGCAAACCGGAAGTTTAGGAACGGAAGCCTCCTAAAGCCTCCGGAGGGAGAAAAATGGCCCTACAGACAATCTGGAAGTTCGGGAACAGCGGAGGCCATTTTTGCCCTACCCAGGCTCCTGGAAAGCCTCTGGAGCCTGGGGAGGGCAAAAATGGGTCTATTGCATACAAAAAGTAGAGGGAGGGGGGTGCACGTGCATGTGGGGGGGCATGCGCATTGAATTATGGGTGTGGACACACCTACGCATGACCCCTCTGTGCTCCCCCCACATTTGGCACACGATGGCAAAAAGGTTAGCCATCACTGGCCTAGTCGGTCTCCTGCACAACGGCGGGGGGGGGAGGCTTCCCCAGGCTCCAGAGGCTTTCTGGAAGGCCTGTTTTTTCCCTTCCCCGAGCCTCTGCGTGGGTCCTACACTTACCTCGATGAATGGAGACTCCTGGGAGGTGAAGGGAAGGGCCAGCCAGAGGTGGAACCAGTTATAATGTTAGCTAAGGGTTCTCCCGAACCCAGGTGAACATGTATGCCTCTGCACATGTTCCTCTCCTCCATGTCTTTGTACAAATAAAATTTGAGTTGCAAGCAACTGAGAGAAAATAATTTCTCTTTTCAGTAATTATTTGGGACAACACAGAAAATATGTCAAAAGGGTCACAACTACAACTGACAGAACTTTTTGTCATAGTTCTCTAGACAAAGTAGCAATAGTAGCATGCTAGTAGCAGTATCTCCAAGATACTTACAACTATTTCCAAGTTGCGGTTCAGATGTATTTGGGATTCCGACATCTGTATCAAAATTTCACCTTTAGAAGGTAAAGAAAAACCATTTAATTATTTTTCTTCTGGCAATGGCAGGGAATTCTCAAAGGTGTAGCACCTCCAAACACAACCAACATTACTGCTCATCAAGAATTGTGATTTATTGAGCATGAGTAGAGCGGAAATTGGAAAAGTGATATTATGCCAAATGTCAAGGAATTATCATCAGAAATGTGAGATTTATCTGTTTTGAAAAAAGCAATATTGTACTTTCCACTAACCAAAGGATGCAGCAATACAGCTGTGATACTTACAATAATATCTCGCATTATTTATATATTATAGCAGTGAATTGATTGGTAAACCAGTGATTTTAAAAAATACGGGGTTTTTTCTGTATTTTTGTTTGCTTCTTTTAACTGTTTGAAAATTGTATTTCTTTTTAAGATTAAAGATGGCTTTGCTGCAATAATATAGATATTAAATAAATAATAATTGTATTTTTTTACATTTTTTTGTAAAAATAATTATAAAAATATTACTGATCTGATCTGCAGTACTCCTGAACCAGAGTTAAATTATCTACATTTCATACTTCTCTAGATGACATAATAGTAATAGCACTTAAACTTATATACCACTTGATAGTGGTATATGTGCTTTAGAACCCTCTCTAAGCAGCTTACAGAGTCAGCTTATTGCTCCCAACAATCAGGGTCCTCATTTTACCAACCTCAGAAGGATGGAAGGCTGAGTCAACCTTGAGCCAATCAGAATCAGATTCTGACTGGCTCAAGTACATTAACATACAGTATTGTATTCTAACCACTGTGCCACAATGGCTCATGCACATCTCAACTCAACTCAAAGTACACATCTGAATGCATTTGACCCCAGATTTTAAGAAAAATGATTAAAAATGAATGAAAACTAAGAAATAAAATACATTATGTCCATTTTGTCAGACAATTAAGTTTGTTTGTTTTTTTAAAAAAATGAAACTTTAAAAACTTGCACATGAAAGGAGAACTGAGTCAGATGAGAATGTTTGAACTGCTCCAAAATAGTAAACTGATCAGGCTATTGAACTCTGGATATACAAGTTTGTATTCTAGCTCAACTAGGCAGACCTTGGATAAGATTGAATTATATCAGTTTGAAACATGAGTCTACTGTGAAAAGGATGGATCAATGTCTAGATATAAACTCACAAAATATCTTTGCATGCTGAATCCAGTGGAATGATGAGCAAACATAGTATATGTTTTTTATATTACATAGTAATATAAACTATTATTACCAGGTGACAATTATATATCATCTCATGGAAACTCACATCTTACCCAGAATCTGTGAAGTAGAACTCTGAAGAGCTTGTTCTCCAATCTTCTGAAGTGCTGTAAAATATACATCTGCTGCCTCAGATAATGCTGTAGGATTTTTTTTTAAAGAAGAAAATTATAATGCATTTGTCGCCGAGAATTCTCTTTCTCTTTTTAATTTTTTTTAAAGAATTGTTCTTCAATTATTAAAACATTTTCAAATGAGTTCATTTCTTGGGTTTTCCTATGCCAAAGATTCAGGTCAGCTCCCAAACTGCCTCTCTGGAAATCTTTTGAAATTTGTGTTGGGCAAAGAAAAGAATAGGATTGCTTAGAAATTCCATTTATTTCATGTTATCCACAAGTAGAGCATACAAAGCTGTGCATTTCTTAAATTTATTTATTTATTAGCTGGATACCTGTGCTTCCTGACAAAACTACGTGATTGGGCAATGCAGGAGAAATCTGGTTCACTCCAGTTCAATCTGTTGGCTCAGTGGTGGTGGGTGATTGAAACACATAGGGGAATATTGCTCCCGCCTCGAGTCCGGAAGCAGTTCCATAGGTGGAAGGCATAGACATTTTGGTGAAGTACCAATGTTTAGTACTGTAAGGAGCCTCAGACCGCTCCTGAGTGAAGGAGTGGAATGTCTGTCAGTTTGAACTGAGGTAACAGAATGTGAGGCAACTGGCAGTTGGAACAGAGTGCCTTTCAGATGAGGAGGGGGAGTAGAACTCCTTAGCATGAGAGCATGTTAATTATTGTATAAGAAATACTAATGATCTGATGGTAATTTTTAAAAATCCTTTCTTAGCAAGCACCTAGAAGCTAAGAGGAACATAAGTGCCAAATTTCAAGTTTGTAAGCTTTACTGTTCTGGAGATTTTGTGATGATGTGTGAGCAGTATTTCCCTTTTATATATAGATAGATTTATTAGAATTTGTCAAATAAAAATGAGAACAAGAATAAAAGAATAGAAATACAGTGACAGGGAGGGTAGGCACGTTAGTGCACTTATGCATGCCCTCTCTACTATATATGTTACAATATGCATAGTACTGATTGTGATGCATCTGATTATACAGATGGATTTGTCTGCACACTGGTATTCTTCCCTGTCCATGAATGGTGAGAAAAATCACTTCCTCCATCATGTATATATGAAATTCTACCAAATTAAACACGAACTAATGCAGCTGTTATTTGCTACATTATGTCTGCCCAACTCCAAATGATTAAGGGCAGCTTATTTTATTTGAAAAGCAAAGAAACAATAAGAAATAATGAAACAACTCATGCAACTGAAAAAGAGCATCAAAAAATTATAATAACTTAATGGGCTATCAAGCATATTCCAGGTCTAGGAGGACCACCAGTTTTTCATGAATCTTAGCAAGGTGTATGTGTGTGTGCCACAGTGTCAAAAAGAATGTTCCAGACTGTAAGCAAATAGACATTCAATTAGCTGTCTTACTTACCATAAAAAGCCTGCAGATACTTGTTGCCCAGATATATCAGCTTCTCCAAAGCTGGATTAAACTGTTCCAAGATGCTCTGTTATCCATCCAGATGAAGAAAAAATAAAAACAATCTTACATTCAGCATCTGGGTCTCCTTAAAGAAAACTTACTGTAGCCCAGGCATTATTGCTTTCTATATTCTAGACAATCAATCAAGTGAGCCATCCATAAAGTTTAAAAGTATTTTATGCGGAAAATATCTTAACTACAATTATTGGCCCAAATTTGGAAGAAAATTGGTGCCAGACAATATAAGGTAGTGTTATGGACCCAATATTGGGATCCAATGTAAACAGTGAGCAAAATGAGGGTAGATACAACACCTTCTTTCCTTCCCCCACCCGAGTTAATCAAGGTCATTAATTATGCTTAGTTAGCTATTTCCCATGGCTAGTAAATTGTATCGTCTACTAAAACGGACGTCTGGATGTCTTTTTCCCTTAGGGATTGTTCATTGAGTTAATATGATCCCATTTCACACCATCTTCTCCAACTTTGGTGATCTTCCCTTCACCTAGAAACTTTTTCCTGTCTCAGCCATCTTGAATCGGGCTATTCTTCAGAACTGCCCAAATGCAACTTAATTTGCCAATCATCATCTTCTATTCTGCTTTTCCAACTCCAACACAGCTCTGTGCTCCTGCAAATTCCTTTCTCACCCCCCTCCCCCAAATGAGAGCTCTCTTTATACACGTGGAGAAGGGAACACTTCATCATTTATTCTTTTTACCTTCCATGTTGCTATCTTCCATATGCTGTGGCCTTTACCCGAGGGGCCCGTAGATCTCGCTGCCTTACATGGCTTTTGTCAATTGAAGGTTTTGTACACTTTTTCTAAAAGGTATACCTTAAATTATCAGTCTCAGTTATACCTCTCCATGTGGATATTCTCTGTCCAATAGTAACAATAGTACTAGTGTGTTTGGGCAGAGTTAACCATGATTCAGCCTATTGGTTAAACAGTGCCTTGCTAAGTTTACTTAGTTAAGTATTGCAAATCAATGAGCTTGCTGTTGAGTAAGTGTGCAAAAGATGTCAACCTTTGTGTGTGCTGGACAGCCAACTATAGTTTCCATTTCATCTAGCATTTAGTTTTCACTGCATATTGGATTACCTTCTTGTTACTTCTAAGCTGAACCTCTTGGCCTCTCAATAGTTTTTTAGCTTAGTTAGGCCAAACGTCACCGGTCATGAGGTTAAACCATATGTCATCCAAGATTTACATTCTCTGATTCTATGAAGTGCAAAATTTTGGGCGAATCAAAGAATAGAAAAAATGGAAGTCATATGCTTATTACAATCCCACTTGGGAACAACCTACTAATTTCTAAATTTTGCCCACTTCAAAACATCTCCTTACTTTCAACCATTTATTTCATTCCTAATGTTGTTCAAGCTTGTCAGTTCGTCCAAAATCAATATCCCAGCTTTCATCAAATTTTTCTATGTCACTATTTTCCCTCAATTTTTAATGTTGGATTTTTCTATAAAATCAATTTAGCATTCGAAAAAAGATCAAATCTGTTTTTATGAGATGTTCCATTCCATAACTTTCTAACAGGTACAATTATTATTTCCAGAGATACTATTTTATTCTACTGTATTTGGATCCTAATTCTGTCCATTCAAGTAAAGGTGCTATATGTATACATATTACAAAGCTGCCCAAATCAGAAAATTAAAACTAATGTGGCTTTATTACAGTAAGTTTAGTGAAATAGGAGACTCATTTATACAAAATACAATAGGCTAAAAGATATGGTACACATTTGTATTAGAAATGAGTGTGTGTATATATATATAATGTATTTTTGTGTGTATGTGTGTTTGCATTAAATAATAATCAAGAGAGTTTTAACTGTTTACTGGATCATATTATACTTCACATTTTGGGTTTTTTAATATTGTATTTTTCACTTATTTCTAAGCACTAGTTATGCATTTTTAATATAAATTTTTGGATTTTGTGCCTTTTGTTTTTTCCCCTGTTATTTTAAAAAGCAACAAAAATATTTTTAAAATACAGAATGTCCTTCCAAGATGTATGAATCTGGTCTTTACTGGAAGCGATACTGCCTCTACCATGAATGGCTGCATGATCTGATGCTATAGAACAAACTATCTGGGTACAAACACAATTGCTGCATATAATGTGAATAAATTATTTCCGTATTTTGAAATTTGTAACTAAAGCAGACTGAGATTCAAAGAATTGGGTTCCTTGGTTACTCTAACTATCTCACAACTTAAAACAGAGATTAAGTTTTTTAAAGCTATACCACATAGACGATATTCTGTTAAGCAATCTGAATCACAGGTTTTCATAATCAAAGTTTTTCTCCATTTATATTTTAACAACTTCTTTCTACTTCCATTTTGTCTCCTGCAGAATCCATTATTAAGGAAGAGTCTTCTTAAACCACATTTCCTTTGGCCAACAAGAGAGCCTGTTACAACCCAGGGAACAAAGAAAATTAGGCCTCACCTTATAAATAGTGATTGTCGATCTGTAGGATTGCTCCATCCTCAAATATTTTAAGACCCAAGATTCACTTCTCCAGGAATGGAAGTTTTTGAGAAGATATGCTGGGCTTGCTTTGAAAAAGAAGAACACACTGCCAGAGAGTTTAATAATTAATAATCATGTTGTGCTGTTGGAACTTGATCTTTAGGTGTAATCAGATATCAGGTAGGGCGGAATCTTGTGACAGCTATGGGGGTCATATGATCTTTACTCTTAATTATGTATTGCAGTTTCCATATATGGTTCTTTGTGGAGCATTGTTCCATCGAATTATCTTGACTGAAATAATTATGATGGGTTGAGCACCTTGAACAACTTATCTCTGGTTTGGCTTAAAGAGCATTTTCAACGTCTGCCTAACCAGGCAATACACATACAGGCTGTATCTTTTTTCTTCTATGTCTTCATGTCATGTTCTTTATCTCATTTTCAGTCCATGAGTGGAGCAAGCTTGCTTCCCTTAGTTGTTCCAGTGCTGAAGTAATGTTTTCCCTCTAATACCATCACTTGAGTGGCCATGGATAGAAATATAAAGTTGGATATCATCAGCATATCTCACTTCATGGCTTCATGCAGATGTTAAACATGAGTGGAAAAAGGTGGCAAGCTCTATGAAACTCCACAAAAAAGGGACCATGGTTAGACCTTTCTCCGCGATCAATATTGACTGGAACAAGTCCCAAAGCAAGAGAACCAGCATAACATCATCTGCTTACTCTCAATCTCCAAAAAGACACTCCAGTCCAAATATACCATGATTAATGATATCAAAAGCCACTGAGTGGTCAAGAAAAGCAAAGATGGGACTATAAACACCATTCCACTTCCACCAAATGTAATAATGCCATTTTATCCTGTACCCAGGTCACAATCCCTACTGAAAGAAATCCAGATAATCCAGTTTCCCCAAGGTTTATGGAGCTGCCATATAACTATCATCTTTCCAACCTTCCCTATAAAGGGAAGGTTAGATACTAGTTGAAAATTGTTCAGCATAGTTGGGTCCAGCGAGTGGCAGACAAACTATCACCTCTGCAAGGGGCAGAGAAATCACCCCTCTCAAAGAAATCACCATCATCAGAACCTCCCAGGACGTTTTAGTCATCTGGAGGGGACATGGATCTAAAAAATAGGTACCTGAGTTTGTAGCCCTAAGGATCCTGTCCTTGTCATTAGGACCAAATGGATTAAACTCTTCTCAGAGAAGCAAACCAGACTGAGCCCTGATAACCAACCTCCATAGGACCTGCAAGAGTTCAATTCGGAATGAAACTAAGTGCCAAATCTATCCGATAGGTGCTTAGTGTCTCCCCCACCCCAGCAATTTTGCAAGTAAACCTCTGAGTCAGCACTTGTCAGAAGGGCTCAATTTACATTAACCAAAGCCACCAAGTGGTTATCCGCAGACACATTCCAAGCAAACACAGGACCAGCCTGAAACAAACACACCCACTTATAAAGGTCCATCACTATTGAGTACTGATTGCCAGTGAAATAAGGTGGCCTTTCATTAAATTGCACCTTCATCTGCACAAAAACACAGCAACGGAATGAAAAATCTTACTAAGGGGGAGGCCTAATTAAGCACAATTGGGTTGGCATTAGGCTTTAGTAGGTAAAAGGGATTTAATGAATGCAGCTAGGTTGAGATTTGCATAGGAAGCATGCGCCACATTTGGTAGTTCCATAAGGAACTACTTCGTCCAACAACCAAGGAAAAAAACAAGAATTTCTCTTTTAGATAAACACAATACTCAAGTCATAGAGAATATAGTGTCACACGTTACTTAGTTCCCTCTTTAGTTCTCAGGTCATCAATGCATGATCAGTATTACTCCCAAATAAAAAAGCAAGAACAACATATGCTTCTTTCTGTTTTAGAGTGATCTAAATAAGGCTGTGCTGTAATAATATTGATATAATATTGGCCTACCATGCAGTTTTGAAATAGATATTAAATTCATTCAGAAAACAAGTCGGCACCTTTAGCCCCTCTTTGACTATGACTCAGTCCTGATCACACCTGGCGGGATTTAGAAATATTCAGCTATACTGCTTGTAGCTAATGTAAAAAAATGTTGAATCTTGTACTAAATGTTCTTTCCAAAAAGCATGTTACTTATTAAAATTGGGCCTCCTTTGTTAGTTTGGGCAGGGAAAGAATAAAATGCTTACAACTTGTGTTCTGGCAATTTTATACTCATGGTAGCTACACACACTTTAAAAACTGGAAACAAGAAGCTAAAGCCACTATTGTACACATCATGTTGTGCATAGCAAATCTATGTGTGTGCTTAGTCTGTACTAAGTTTCACTGAGTTGAGTGGCTTGTATTCCCAGTTCATGTAGACTGGTGATGCTATAGATGCTTTGGCTGGATCGCTTCATCCAGCTTACTCTGTGTTAAGATCAGCTGGAAATTCAGGAAAGGCAACATTAAGCTGTTGTTTCCTTGTTTGCAAAAAAGAAAGAAATCAATAGTCTCTGTACTCCATGGCAAGCATAAGGAAGCCCATCCAGTTACTGTATAGTTGGTTTCATTGAATTCAAGGCTCCTTACTTCCTTTCAAGTACCATATTAACCAAACTATCCTCATTTCCTTCCCAAATGTGATTTAGTTAGCATTTTTAGTGGACAGAGAAGGCTTGCCCTATGGATATGTGTTGTGGCCCGGCAGGAGCCGTTAGAGCTGCCGCCAGACTCCGACAGCAAGGGGGCTGATGGGTCGGCCTTGGAGGAGGTGGAGGACCCTGAACAGGGTGTTGTGGCCTGGCAGGAGTCGTTGGAGCTGCCGCCAGAATCCGACGGCGAGGGGTCTTATGAGTTGGTGTTGGAGGAGGTGGAGGACCCTGGACAGGGTGTTAGGGCCCTGCGGTGAGGGATAGTGTTGTGACTTGGCAGAAACCTCCTGTGAGTTGTTTCGGGATGCACGCAGGAGACGGGCTGACCGACTCACAGGAGAGGATAACGAGCAGCTGTGGCTTGTTAGGATCTCCTCCTGCGGATAAAAGACGGATGGTGCCACGCCCTAGTGGCAGAAGTCAACATTCCATTCCGTTCCGTTTCTGTTCTAGTCAAGTTCTTCGTTTGTATGTAACCATCGAGAAAAAGCACTTGGATAAGTGATTTGATTTATATAATCCTGTTTGTAGCAATTTATGAGTTAGGACTTTTGCCAGAGCATTTATCTGTGTTTATTTTGGGCTCGCAGCCAGCAAGAGCCAGGACTGATAAAAACATTCCTTTGAACGTTCTGTTTGCTTTAGTTTCTGAACGGGCAAGGTGGGGGTCAGAACAGATAGGGAATGGGAAGAAGCATCAGTGTCTCAGCTTTGTTCCTTTTCAGCTACTTTTGTGAATTTGCTTCTACCAATCAGCTCCTCCTTTTATAATTTACTCACTGAATGCAAAACGATACAGATGCATCCACCCACTCACAGGGATTTATTTGGGGGAAGCCTCCCACCCCCATCCCCACCCCCGACATCTTTCTTTAGGTTAAATACAACAATTCTCACACCACAAAATATTTTTTAAATTCACTTATGCCATACACAGAAGCCTTTCTCTGTCAGGTGACTTCCAGATACAGGCTAAGCATTGCTAAAGTTGATCCTATGCATTTTGAATTACCAGTTTTTAAAGAGGTTACTTTTTTAATAATGTGCTCAGTTTGCAATAAAAGCAAGCTAAAATGCATCTCTGACATTGGAGACTGCAATTTATATTAAGACATCTTAAATGAAAAGACAGAAAAGTCAGATTTCAGAAAATACTGTTTTTATTTAATGCTTACTTTGGGAGGGGGAGAGGACTTTTTAACATCAACATAATTTTCATCAGAATTTGAAAGCTTATGAAAATAATGGGAGAGTGGAGTATTTCCTGTTAGTTTCACTTTATCAGTTTTTCAACAATTCCAGTGCATCCTATTAAGTCAGTTAAAACCTAGAAAAATAGTGCATTTTTGTTAAACGTCAGTACATCTTTTATTTCTTGTCTAAACAAAACAGCAAATACAGCATTCATGAGTAGAAAAATTAATGAAGTAAGAAAGAGAGTATGAGAAAACAGAAAAACCAACCGTAAAAGCATGGGCCCCGTCTACTGACTTTGTCAATCAATGGTCTCATCTGATGTGTGCCCACTCCTACATTTTTTTCATCCATATTTGGAAATGTCTTTGGGAAGACTATTGTCCAAGGAAGTATTATCCTCCATTCTTCCAGCACTCTTTTGTGCCAGTTATAGCAAAGTGATTTCTTCGGGGGTGAGGGGACTCAGAAAAAAAGGAGTCTGAAGTAAGAAAACAAGCATATAGGGAGAGCTTTGGTCTGGAATGAGCAAAGGAGTTTGCCTACTATCAATAATGTTGAAAGGGAATGGTAGGTTTTCTCATGTGGAAAAAAAAAATCTCCTTCCACATAAGAAACAACTCAATAAATGACTTGTAAACAAGGAGAAAATGGCAATTTCAGTTGTTCAGGTCCTCATGCTACAACCTTAGATACAAAGGTATAAGTAATTAATTCATAGCACATAACTAGTCTTAGATTCCAGGCAGGAATAATTCAACTCTGATCAACAGACAAAGTGAAATGACTTCAACCTTTAAGGTTATTGGTATAGCAGCACACTGAGGTGGGGAGGGAGGCAGTCCCAGCACCTAAAACAGCTGATGGATGTTTTGATGGGAGCAATCCTCAAATTCTTCCACTTGATTTTTCTGGTACGGGGGCAAGGGGCAAGCCGCTGGCCAGTAGAATCTGCTACTTCTCACTGATAATCCAGGCTGTAGCATCAAGGCAGGCATTATTGGTACCCAAAATCCTCACAAAAGCTTTATTTGATTAGCAGCTGCTCTACCAACTGCTCGAATTTATCCCAGTGTCGATAAATGTAGATCTGTGTCTCCCAGAGCATGTTGATCAGGATTGTATTGCTCACTTCATCCAGCATGATGTCTGCCTCCAAAGAGGGATTGAATCTGTAGGCATCATGAAGATGTTAACAAGAACAGCAGTTTTGTGCATACGCTGCAACTGAAGATAGGAACGTAGGGCAAAGAAGCGTTCAACAGAGGAGAGCACAACAAACAAAATACAAGAGGAACAATGTGGTGCAAACAGGAGCATCCTGGGACCTTCACTTTTAGATTCCAAAAGCCCAGCCCCCCCCCCCCAAATGTTTTCTGGATATTGCTGATAGAACTGGGTGACAGAAAAAGCCAACACAAATAGTCCACAAATTATGACCACAATTTTATTTTGCATCATTGACTCAGCCATTAGGTACTTTGTACCAGGTTTTACAACCTTTTGCTGTGGTTGTTAAGTGAATCACATCACTATTGAACAAATCCAGTTTCCCTCATCGATTTTGCTTGTCGGAAGCCCCCTGGGAAGATCACAAATGGTAATCATGTGATCTCCAGGGCGCTGCAACTGTTGTGAATACATGTTGGTTGCCAAGCACGTGGTTTTAAGCATAAGGACCTATCATAAGTCACTTTTTTTCAACACCATCATAACTTCTAACAGTTGTTAAACTAAAGGATTAAAGGACTAGTCAAGGACTATCTGTACGGTTTTCATCTTCCATATAAATATTTGAGCTCTTGCCTACTTTTGAGTCTACAAAGTTCTCTACAGCAAGGACTGAGCCATTACCTCATCTAAACTTTGTTCCCTGTTCTTGAATTATCCTGTGTCGTAGTCCTGTCTTCTTCACTAAAATGAGCCTGGCTTCATATAAAGCATTCTGGCTGTAGCTCAGACACTCAGTTAGTGGTTAACATTTCCCTATTTCTTTGCTGAATCCCACTCCATTGTGAGGGTGCCCTATATAAAATATATCCTATATAAAATACCTGAAAAGCAGAAAGAAGCCTAGAAGTTCAAGCTCTGATTTTTCTGTATTTTTCGGAGTATAGGACGCACCGGAGTATAAGACGGACCAAGATTTTGAAGAGGCAAATTTTTTAAAAAAAGGTTTTGCACTCTGCAGACTTCCCAAAAATGGGCCATTTTTCACAAAAATGGGCCATTTAGGAGGCTTGTAGAGTGCTCCTAGGTGCTGGGGAGGCCCCAAAACAAACAAAAAATGGCCTGTTTTTCATCAAAAAAGGGCATGCATAGCCTTTAGGCGGCTTATAAAGTGCTCCTAGAGGCTGGGGGGGGGGGCAAAAAAGAGCAAAAAAACGGCCCATTTTTCACTCATTTCTGCCCTCCCCAGCCCCCAGAAACACTCTGAAAGCCTCCTAAAGGCAATACACGGCCATTTTTGCAAAGGGGCGGGGTTTCGGGAGGCAAAAAATGCTGTATTCAATGTATATGATGCACCCAGATTTTCACCTTTTTTGAGGGAAAAAGGTGCGTCTTATACTCCGAAAAATACGGTATTTATCAGGATGGGGAACTTGAGTCTCTTGAAATGTTGCTAAACTGTCATTCTCAGCAGCCACCACAAATATGACCAATGATGCTGGAAGCTCAGCAACATACTGAGAGTTAGAGCTTGCTCAACTCTGCCTATACAGGCTGCCAAAATGCATAATAATCTTCAGCTATAAATCAGCTTTGCCCTCAACTAAAGTGACTGTTAGAGCCCCTTTATGATGATCCTTGTTTGGTATATAAGCTCATATTCTGAAATCACATTCACAAGTTCAAGCTCTGATTTTTTCTGACACAATATTATAGCGGGCATGGCTTATACCTGAAAAAATGGGCATCTATCATCTCACACCAGGCAGCTGCACGATCAACACATGGTCCATCTGGATCTGTGCACTACAAAAATAAAACAAATGAATTTAACGTTATTCAAGGTATGTCAGTTTTTCTACAGAACAAATTTCCAGTCCAATTTTTTTTTAAAAACCTTAAAAGGAAAAAAAAAACCAAGCAGATTTGGATAAGCACAAGTTGGATCATTTAATTTTAAGGACGACATAGATATGAAACTTATGGCAGAGTTTTCCTGAGAATGAGACCAAATTTAAAGATCCTCTTTTTGATTAACAATGCAACTGTTAATAATTATGGTATTCTGTGTTACTAGTAGGCTAAACT